TGGATTTGTGCAGGATGAGTTCTACAAACTCCCTGTGCCCTGACACTTCTCACACATCAGTCCCAATGTAGAAGCAGTGTCTGCACTACGTTTAGGAAGCATTACAATCACTTACTGTGCATCATTAATTTCTAGTAAGTATTTGTTGAATACATACTAAAGGCCAAGTGACATGCTAAATGTTAAAGATAATGCATATAAAACAAAATCAAAACCAAACAAAAATTACAATCTTCGCATCCAAAAGTTTATAATCTAGTAATGGTATTTATGCCTGCTATTTATTGAACACTTACTATGTGGTAGGGACTTCCTTAGCAATTTCAGCTTTTTATCTCATTTAATTTTCTTAATACTATGAAACAGTTTAGGAGCAAAACTTGTTAGGCAAATTGACCTTGACTACATGTTGAGGTTTTTAAAAAATTTGTTAACAAAGAAACTAACAAAGAGAAATAGGAGAGCGGAAATTAAGTTAATGATGAAGGAGAAAATTTATATGTTCCACAGTTGGGGTCCCTAACCCCAGGGGCACAGTCAGGTACCAGTATGTGGCCTGTTAGGAATCAGGTTGCACAGCAGGATGTGAGCAGTGGGTGATACAGTGAAGCTGAGCCCCACCTCCTGTCAGATCAGTGGCAGCATTAGGTTCTCATAGGAGTGCAAACCCTCCTGTGAATTGCACATGTGAGGGATCTAGGTTGTATTCTCCTTATGAGAATCTAATGATAAATGTAATGTAACTGAATCATCCTGAAACCATCCCACCCCTACTCCTGTCAATGGAAAAACTGTTTTCCACAAAACCAGTGCATGATGCCAGAAAGATTGGGGACTGCTCTTCTACAGCAATGTTTCTTATTGTGTAGTCTAGGTCTTAGTATCAGTCTGTAAACTGTGACTTGTTTAAGACCAGGTAAGTTTAAAAATTGAGACAAAGTTTAGAAACTTTAATAGAAGTGTGACATTGCTGTGACATTCAGTGATTCATTGATGGTCTCATCTCATTGAACAGGATATAGATCATTCGTGTGTTTCTGGACTTACACGGTGAATTGTTTGTAGTGGAGTGTAGGTAAACTGACTTTCAAGAAAAAGCAGCAAACCACAACCAAAAAACCTCACTTTGAGTTGTAGCCTGGGCCAATTTATAACGTAAATACTCCCACATGGTTGATTTCAAGCTCCCAATGTGATAGAGGAAACAGAAAATTTAGCAATCAGCATTTCTGAGCCAGCACAAGCTGACTTCAACACATCATTGGGTGGTATGAGCTGTATACTCGTCCTGCATGATAGGACCACTATAATGCATGACAGATTAGATGAAAAAGAACTTATCTTTCAGAATCACAAGGTACAAATGACTGGCTAATTGGACATGTTGTGAATTCTTCCTGTTTTTATTAGTAGGTCTAACTTAACCCTGGACATAATGGTTTAGGGCCATCTTAACAAAGATGCCAGGTGTGAAGATGAAAATTTAGCACATTTATCAGGATCCATTCCCCTACTTTCTCCCTGGTCATTTTATGACAGCTTTTTATTTTTATTTTTACATTAGTTTCCACTGTTTACTTCATTATAACTCAGTAGGGAGTTTTCACTGTAGAGCCAGGAAGTAGACTAATTGGAGGTCAGTGGTCTCTTTCAATCCAGAGATTCATGACCTTCAATTCTGTTAATTTTTTCTTTTTTCTTATTTCGGTAATTTCCTCTCCTCTATTTTTTTCCATACTGTTGTTCTTCCAGAACGACAGCTTTCTTGCCATTTTTTTTCTCTTATTTTCTATCTCTGAGAGTTTCTTTTCTACTTTTACATAGATTTCCTCCACGATGTATCTCAACATCTCTATTGATTTTAAAAATTCAGCTAGTATATTTTGATTTCCAGTAGCTCTTGATCTCTGTTCTTTGATTTAAAAATAGCATACCATTCTTCTTTCAAGAATGTGATGTTTCCTATTATTTCTCTGAAGATTCTCCATTAGTCTCATTAATTTTTATTTCTTCTGAGTTTATTTTTTTCTGTGTATTATAAAAAGTCTCTCATGTTGGAAGCTTTTTAAACTTTTGGTGATTCACCAATGCTTGATCTTGTTTTAGAGTGTGGCTCTAGAGATCCAGTTGGAACCACCGGGTGTATTTGCAGGGATTATCAACTAGTGAGCTCCTCTGTGGGGCAATGAGGAAGAACTGGCTATCATGATAAAGAGGCCTACAAATGTCAAATCTGCAAGGTTTATCCTCTGGTTCAGTTTCTCTAGAAAAAATCATCCTGTACTTTCCTGCCTGAGGAATAATACTGGGTCTCAGTGTTCTTGGATCTGAAGGGCACGAGGTCCCTGGTGGTTTTCTCCATTTCCTGCATAGGTTTTCACTTAATACCCTTGTTTTCAATGTGGTATCTTTTTTTGCCTTCCTATGTAACTGTATCAGTGGACTGAAGTCCCCCTTTAGTTCTATTTCTTTTCATAATATGTCTCTGATCTCCCTCCTGGATTAGAGAGTTGTTTGTGTAAGATGACCTGGGGGGAACACAAGATTAAGCCTGCCCAACAGGCTTTTAACTACCTTTGATTTCTGGGATTCTGTAGCACAAATTTATGGGCATCCCCATCTACAGTGGCTTAAGGTTCAGCCTTCTCCGTTTTAGTAGTTCTTCTATTTGCTTTTCATTAAACAAAATTTGACATCTCATATATTTTATTAAAAAAATCTTTCCCATTAAATATTTTCTCATTTTTCTTGTGGATTCATGCTTCTTTCTGTACTTTTCCTCTTGGTTTTAGAAGAATATCAATAAAAATATGTTTAGTTCCAACATGTTACCAAAAGTAGGGTGCTTTTAAGAATAAGTTGTAATTCTTATGTCATAAGACCTTGACCAGCTTATGAAAATCAGCCAACTTTGTACTTCATTTTCAGATAGATATTATTAAGTCATGGGGTTCTACCAGCTTAATTGCTGAAAATTAGTTCTCTACAGAGCTTTTCCATGATTTCTTAAGGTACTGTTTATTTGAGATCTGAAAACCTACAGTAACCAAAACAGTATAGTACTGGTATGAAAACAAACACAGACCAATGTAACAGAATAGAAAACCTTGACATAAAGCCACAAACCTCCAACTAACGGATGTTTTACAAATTCAACAAAAATAAGCAATGGGGAAAGGTCTAATCATTAAACAATGATGCAATAACTGGCTATCCATATACCAAAAAATTAAATTGAAACCCTACTTATTACCATACAAAAGATTAAATCAAGACAGATTAAATACTTAAATAAAAGATGTTAAGCTATAAAAGTTCTAGAAGAAAACCTGTGAAATATCCTTCTGCACATCACCCTTAGCAAAGAATTTATGACCAAGTTATCAAAAGCAATTATAACAAAATATTGACCAGTAGGACCTCATTAAAAGCTTCTGCACAGCAAAATAAATTGTCAACAGAGTACAGAATGGGAGAAAATATTCACAAACTTGCATCCAGTGAAAGGTCTAATATCCAGAATCCATAAGGAACTTAAATCAATGAGCAAAAAACAGCCCCATTAAAAAGTGGGCAAAGGACATGAACAGATACTTCTTGAAAGAAGAGATACATACAACAACAAATGTGAAAAAATGCTCAACATCACTAATCAGCAGAGAAATGCAAATTAAAATCATAATGACACACCATCTCACACTAGTCAGAATGGTTATTATTAAAAAGTCAAAAAGTAACAGATGCTGATGAGGATGTGGAAATAGGGAATGTTTATATACCAGTTGTGGAAACGTAAATTAGTTCAGCCACCGTGGAAAGCAGTTTGGACATTTCTCAAAAAACTAAAAACAGAACTACCATTCAATCCAGCAATCCCATTACTGGGCATATACCTAAAGAAAAATAAATTGTTTTATTAAAAAGATACCTGTACTTGTATGTTTATTGCAGCACCATTCACAATAGCAAAGTCATTGAATCTACCTAGGTGCCCATCCACAGTGAATTGGATTAAAAAAATGGGATATGTATACATCATGGAATACTATTCAGCCACAAAAAGGAATGAGATCATGTCCTTGCAGCAACATGGATGCAGCTGGAGAGCATTATCCTAAGCAACTTAACACAAAAACAGAAAACCAAATACCTCATGTTCCCACTTATGTAGGACCTGAACATTGGGTACACATGGACATAAAGATGAGAATAGCAGACATTGAGGGGGGAGGCAGGGGGACAAGGAATTGAAAACTACCTGTTGGGTACTGTGCTCACTACCTGACAGGTTCAACTGTACCCCAGACCTCAGCATCACACACTATATCACCCATATGACAAACCACATGTATCCCTGAATCTAAAAAACAAAGAGTTGAAATTTAAAAATAATATAAATAAAATCTTAAAATGATCTGGAAACCTTGTTTTACAACGAAATCTCTATTCTGATTGCCAGCTGTTGTTCTGAGAAGGCAATGTGGTAGGCAAAGCAGGCCTCTGCCAGGCAATGACTGGCCTCCTCACTCTGGCTGTGGAGATGACTGCGATCCACTCTAATGTTCCCAAGACATACGTCATGCTCTCCCTAACTCTCCATACACAATTGCAACCAGTGAAATATGTTGAAAGATATCATGATTTAAGTCTTAGATATGACAGAGCTACAACAAAGAAAAAATTATCTCAAAAAGCTCACAAATCTAAACCTCAAAAGGTGCAGTTCTACACCTCTGGTGTGCCATTATTGGGTTAGGGCCAGTTCACTCCCTACTTCTAATCAGTTCCAGTATTTCAGAGTCCAGTGGAAATTGACCCACATTTCCCAGAGAGGATATTTTCCTTCAATATTTAAAGACAGCCTGATTTCTCATTCTGTAATTAATCTCCCCTTTTATGATTAACATTCATTTCAGGGGAAGCCCCATCAGTGTCACTCTAACTAGAGTGTGGTCTGACTTCACAGATAGGTTTCCACAGATTGAGCTACTCAGACTTACCCCATGCCTATGCAGAACACCAGCTAGCCAGTTCACACTGCATTTGGCCAGGCTCATCAGATCCTTTTCTGAATCTTCACTCTAAATAAGGAAAGCCAGGATAAAACTTTCAGTATCCTCTTGCAATAACTCTCTCTCTCTGCTTCAGATAAAAACAAATAAATTTGTTTTGCCCTAATTTTATTTTAAAATTTGTTTTGCCCCAATAAATTTGCCCCAATTTTAAAAAAGGGGCCAAACACACTTCAGCAAAGAATAAAGAAGGATGGCAGATAAACACATGAAAAATACATATAAAAACTTTGGTAACTGAAGAAATGTACATAGAAACAACATGGCTACCATCTCTTATCCACTGCAATATCTAAGATTCAAACAATAGCAGTAACATCAGCTGATAAAATCAGGTGCTTACAAGATTGCAGAACACTGGATTTCTAATACTTCACCAGTGGAAATGTAAAATGGTATCACCACTCTGGATAACAGGCAGTCTCCTATAAAATTATTATAAATCTACACTCAGCATATGTTGTCATAGCCGTCATACTCACAGGATTTTACCCAAGAGAGCTGAAACTATCCATACAAAATCTGAACATGAACGTCTGTAGCAGCTTTAGTCATAATTGCCCAAAGGTGAAAATACTCCAAATGTCCATCAACTAGTGAGTGATTAAAAGTATCAGATACATATCTACAGAGAGAGTACTTAACAATAAAAAGCAGTAAAAAGGAGCATGCGACGGATATAGGTAACAACATAGATGAATCTCAAAAATATTGTGCTAAGTGAAAGTAGCCTGACATGAATGCCTGCATGATGCTGTGTAACTTCATTTATATAACTTTCCAGAAAAGGCAAAACTACAGGAACAGGATAGATGAGATGTCAGTGGTTGTCAGCAACTGGGAAAGGAAAGGAAATTGATTTCTAAAGGACATGAGGAAACTTTGTGGAATGACAGAAATATACTGTATTTTGATGGCAATGGTGGTTACATGGCTATACATATTTGAAAGCAAATACTTCAGCCCTAATCTAGCAGCTTGAAATGAATGTAGCCCAGAACAGCTTGACTACAGCCTCATGAGGGGCCTTGAGCTAGAACCACTAGCCAAAGCGCCCTCAGTTTCTTGACCAAGAGAAACCGTAAGATAATAAATTGTTCTAAGCTGCTAAATTTGGGGGTAATTTGTAATGCAACCATAGATTAATATATTAAATATATTAATATAGTATCACACATTAAATTTATCTGTGTTATATTAACATATTTATTACATACTATATAATGTTATATATTAATATATTATTCTAATATATATTATCTTTTTTTTTTTGAGACAAGGTCTCACTCAGTTGCCCAGGCTGGAGTGCAGTGGCATCATCCTGGCTCACTGACACCTCAACCTCCTGGGTTCAAGTGATTCTCCCACCTCAGCCTCCTGAGTAGCTGGGACTACAGGTGCATACCACCATGGCAGGCTAATTTTTGTGTTTTTTGTTAAAGGGGGGTTTCATCATGTTGGGCAGGCTGACCTTAAGTGATTCACCCACCTTGGCCTCCCAAAGAGCTGGGATTACAGGTGTGAGCCACTGCACCCAGCCTTATATTATATATTGTCTAATATTAGTTAAGTAGTAGACATGTCAGACTATGTTGGATTTTTAAGTCATATATATGTATTAACCATTTTTTTGTTATAGCTTATCTACTGGCCTATCTACCTATCTTTATTCCAACATAATCTCCATGGGTTTAGATCCTCTGAAAAATATACACACTGACCTTTTATAAACAGAATACTTTTGGTCTGAGTCTGAAATATTATAATTTGTATTATTTTAGTTTGCTTCTTTTCCATGACCGTCTTTTATATGATTAACCTAAGAAAGAGGCTTGTCACAATGATTCCTTACATAATTAAGAGAGGGGTTTTCTTCAAAATGCAGTATAGTATTTGGCATAAAACACTATAGTTTTAAACTAGTCATAATTTTTAAATGGCAGTACATTTATTTAATCATTGTTTTGTGAGCATCACTTCTGTGTCAGACACCAAGCCAGACATAGAGGTTATACTGCTATAGACATTAATGTCATCTCCACCTCCATGAGACTTGTGGTCTAGAAGGGAAGAGAAACATTAAAGGAATAAGCCAACAGTTGAACATCATTGTGATTAGATGCCATGAAGGAGACAGGTAGGATTCAAATTTTTCAGTTTAAAAATTACTTACGGTTTTTATCAGAAATTTCTGTATAGAGGAAAACATTAGTTGGTTCATGAATATAAAACATTGCTGTTTTGACCAAAAAAAAAAAAAAAAAGAAAAATTTAAAAAGATTTAGAGAAGGCCAGGCGTGGTGGCTCACGCCTGTAATCCCAGCATTTTGGGAGGCCGAGGCGGGTGGATCACGAGGTCAAGATATCGAGACCATCCTGGTCAACATGGTGAAACCCCGTCTCTACTAAAAATACAAAACATTAGCTGGGCATGGCGGCGCGTGCCTGTAATCCCAGCTACTCAGGAGGCTGAGGCAGGAGAATTGCCTGAACCCAGGAGGTTGCAGTGAGCCGGGATCGCGCCATTGCACTCCAGCCTGGGTAACAAGAGCGAAACTCGGTCTCAAAAAAAAAAAAAAAAAAAAAAAATTAAAAAAAAGATTTAGAGAAAAAAGTGAAAGTTACTCCAGAAGCCTTGTGTCCTTTTGAATCTCCTTTGCCCATAGAAGCGTTCCTTCCTTTTTTTTTTTTGATATTTAGTTTGCAAACTCCATTTTATTAGTAGTTTGCGGTTTTTCTAAATTAGTTCACAAATCTGGTACATACTGGCAGTTAAAACTGGTTATCGCTTTGACAATCAGAAGCCTCTGGTATAACACAGTCTCCATGAAAACATATTGTAAAACAGGGAGAATACACAGTAATAATCTCTTTGAAAACAGTGGTTGCAAACATCCATGTTTCTAAGAAAATATAATTTTACATATATATGTATTTTAAGCACGCTATACCTCTTACATAAATTCAGACAGTAGAAGGAGTGTGCAATCATAATGCTTATTTTATGAAAACAGTGAAAATAATTAGGACCTAAATGCTGTTTAGTAATTAGAGTCCTCTTGTATTGGATGTAGATTATAAAGATATTTTCCCTAATTTGCAACTATCCTGGTCAGAAAGAGCTGAAAAGTTGGTCAGTAAGTAGAATTGCCATTACCAAGTAAGTTTAAAACAAATTCTTTAAATTTAAAAATGTAAACATTGTGAAGTGTTCCAGTCCCCCCAGCTAATTTAGGGAACTGAGCAAGAAGAGTCTTCAGTTTTTAAATGACTTTTGTTTTTGGAGATGGGGGTCCTGCTCTGTCACCTAGGCTAGAGGGCAGTGGTATAATCAGCTCACTGCAACCTCAAATTCCTGGGCTTAAGTGATCTTCCCACCTTGACCTTCTGAGTAGCTGGGACTACAGGTGTGCACCACCATGCCCATTACTTTTATAATAAAATTTCTTTGTAGAGACAGAGCCTTGCTATGTTGCCCAGGCTGGTCTTGAACTCCTAGGCTCAAGCCATCCTCCTGTCCCAGGCTCCCAAAGTGCTGGGATTTCAGGCATGAGCCACCACACCCAGACTTAAATGAAGATTTTATAAACTAAACTTATTTTTGTGAGATGGTCATTTTGTTTTAACCTAACATGGTTTAGAGATTATTTTATGAACTCTAAGCATTCTGGTTCCACACTTTTTTGAGTGGGAGAAACTGGTTCTGTGGCTGACCCTACAACTGAGATTCCTCACAAGCAGCAGCTGTTACATTGTGACCTACATCCTGCCCCACACTTCCACAGGCTGAATTAGGTATGTTGATCTTTCTGTTAGCAGCCACATGGGTCTGCTATCAGCAACCAGCAGCCATTTCTAAGGGCCCTGAATGGTCTTCAAGTTGTTTATGAGGTTGATGTGAGCTGAAGCAGGATGGTGAGAAATCAAAGAGGTGGCTGCCCTGGGACTGAGCTGCTGTTGTCTAGGCAACTTTATTAAAAACCTTCTGTTCCTGGGAAAAGGAAGCCTAAATTAACTCTTGAGTTCTTAGAATTAAGACTTTTAATTTCGTATTGGTCTTTGGCATTTAAGAACTTTCTACTCTTTCTTTTTTTTTTTTTTTTTTTTTTTTTAGAGACGGAGTTTCGCTCTTGTTACCCAGGCTGGAGTGCAATGGCGCGATCTCGGCTCACTGCAGCCTCTGCCTCCTGGGTTCAGGCAATTCTCCTGCCTCAGCCTCCCGAGTAGCTGAGATTATAGGCACGCACCACCATGCCCAGCTAATTTTTTGTATTTTTAGTAGAGACGGGGTTTCACCATGTTGACCAGGATGGTCTCGATCTCTTGACCTCGTGATCCACCCGCCTCGGCCTCCCAAAGTGCTGGGATTACAGGCTTGAGCCACCAGGCCCGGCCACTTTCTACTCTTTCTAATGGAGTTATTTTTACCTTGCTCCGGGTCCTAACATATTTATCAAGTTGTATTGGTTTTAAAGATCTCTTAATCCTTCATATACAATTTAAAACAGTCTTTTATGATTCAGATGCTGGTATATTTATAGAAATAGCTCTAACTTCAAATTCAAAGATCAAGTTCTGATTTAACCTCCAATTCTAAGACTTTTCATACAAAGAAAAACCCAGAGAATGTGATTTTTTTAAAAAAGCATGTTTCTTCACCTAAGTATAATGTAAAAAAATCATATGCATTCCCTAAGTTTTAGCAGTGGCAGCCTCACATTTATAAATTATAGCATGCCATGAGTTATGTGCTGCATTGGAAAACAACATATCTTCTTTCAATATTTCCAACATGGAGACTTTCTTCTCCAGTGTTGGAACAGGAAGCTATTTGTTCAGTTGAGCAGGAGACCATAATACTTGATCTTTTATGTAAATATTTACTGTGCACCAGGGACTGTGTTAGGAACTTTGAAGGTATGAACTCATTTAATCCTTGTCACAACCCTAGGAGATAAATGTACTTGTATCCTTATTTTATAGATAATGAAATTGAGACAGAGAGGTTA